CAGCTTTCTCACAGGTTATGGCATAAGGCTTTCAGCTCCATTTTTCTAAGTCATAAAGAGAGGAAAAGGTTTGTGTGATTCGAGCAATGGCAGATTGATGCACCAAGTTTGGTTCAAGTGGTTACAGAGCACGGCACTTACTGACTGAGCTGGTGACACACGCAGGGACACACGTTACATGTACCTGACTCTGTCCCAGGCTCTCTCAGAATCACAGAACACTTGAACTTGGTTTCCCTGAGGTGTTTAAAAACATATGTGACAGCACATAGATCAGCACACAGCAGATATCTGAAACTATTTGCTAGCTTTAACTCAAATTAAGCACAGCAGTTCCTATCAAAAGCAAAAGCAGGTTATTCCTCAAACTGTGAGAAGTAAATATTTCACTTAAGCAACTGTGGTGACAGCTTTCTTAGGGTGTCTCAGTCATAAAATTTATACAAATCACACAGTTACTTTCCTGGAGAGCAGAGGGGGTTTGTAACACTGGTAAAACAGCATTGTGGGTAAGCAGAAAACCTGATTACTGATCCATAAAGGAAATTTAAGAGTTGCTTCTACAAAACTACAAGTGTTTTCTTCACCTATGCACATGAGGAGCATTATTTCTCTTTCACTGCAGGAAAGTGTCACTTAGAAGTGAAATCTCCATCCCTGAAATACAGATTTAGGACATTTCCTCAAGGTTTCTTTCCTCTTTTTTTTCCCCTCAAGTCCTTTCCCTCCCCCTTTTTTTTTTCCTTTCTCTTTTGCTGTTTCCCTGTTGTGCTCTATTTCGGGTCATTTAGACCACACGCTTTGATGGAGGGCATCCTTCTCCTCTGAATTTATGAATCAAAATGTATTCTCCAACAGATACCTGGAGGTATAATTTGCCCCCTAACACTCTTCAATCTTTATTACTGACACATTCAAGGATGCCTAACTCCCACAAGAAAAAAACCCAACACATCAATCTTCAAAAATATGTCCTCACCTGCCTTCTGAAAATGAAAATGGATGTTCTTTGAGAAATTATCTGAGTTTTGCTTTAAACCCCCCAGGATCCTGTACTTTTGGAAACAACTTTGAATCTAAAAAAATTTATAAATAAAAATATTCTGGTACATAAATACAAATCCCGGGGAGTTGTGAGTGTTTCTTTGGAGGCACGAAGCATTCCCTCAGCAGCCTGCTGGGTGTGATCTGGGGGATTCCCACACACCCTTTTCCTGCATATTGGAGAGAAGGGCTTTTTTTTTTTGCTTCATGTTTCTGTAGGAGTTCCTACATTACAGAAATAGCTCCAAAGCACACACTGGCACCCACATCAAACACCCAGTCAGTTCCTGCCAGGGAGCATTCCCAGCTCCAAACCCCCCCTTTACCAACACACCTAATAAATGACACTCACAGGGAATGAAATTTTAAAGGTTTGTAAGAATTTCAAATATTGTCTTTCCTTTGAGCTGATCCTGTGTTGCTAAAACAAAAAAAACAATGCACAGCTGAAGTTGACCAGAAACAAGTTGATTCTTTCCTTTTCCCTTTTAAGTTTTGTTTTATTCTAAAAGTGTCTACTTAGAATTTACTTTCATTTCTAAAGTATTATCAAAAAAGAAAGTTTTCTTTCATTTTCATCTCTTAAAATTATTAACATAGAAGTTTACTTATGCATGCTAAGATTCTCCCACTCATATTCAGTTGGATATAAAACATGAGCTCTCTAGATGGCCAAACTTGATTTTACTTTAGAGTAAATTATCTGTATTTCCATTTTTTTGCTCTGGAACAAGGATTTCTAGGTTATGCCACAGTAGCTTTTTCTGAAAATGTTGAAGCATGAAAAAACAATATGAACTATCCAGTACGTGCACAACCTGCCAGATGTTTTCTATCTCCACATCTCAGCATCTCCCACTGGGCAAAACCCCCGGTCTCCTGCTCCCTCTGATGCACAAATATGAACCAAATGATACATAAAATGAAAAAAAAAAAAAAAAAAAAAAAACCTAAGAAACCCCCAAAGAATTTACATTCTGGTAATTTGTCTTAAATTTAATGAAGAGTTTCCCAAAAGCATCAAGATCCAAGCAGTGGTAAAACTTACAGAGAGATGGAAAAGGGGAATAATTTTAATCAGTGTTTTAGCATGCTCTAAAAGACTTCATATAATCCTCTGGAGCACATACAAATTAATAATAAGAAATAGTTTTTGCTTTTTTCCATGTCCATCCTAGAGAAATTTTTACTTTCATTCAGCTCCTTAATTGGTGTCTAGGGCTAATAGAGTTTTAAGGAGCACACCTACAATCACAGGTGACTGACCCAATTAAAAGTTTAAGTCAAACCTGGGAGAAGCTGCTGCTTTGAACTGGAATAAAATGAAAAAAAAAAAAAAAAAAAAAAAAGACCTAAAAAACCCCCCAAAACCTGGAATAATCAGATTACCCAGGACCAATGTTTGCAGGTTCTGGACTGCAAAATTCCCCAGCAGAATCTCCCCTTCCCCCACCTCATCTAAATATCGTGTTCTCCTTCATGAGCTACACTCAGGCACCTGCAAATGCTGCTGACTCAGACCCCAGTCAGACTGGATGTGGAACAACTCAGCTGATCCTGTCTCTTTTCCAAGCAGTGGAAAACATGAGGAAAAGACTTTCTGTTCCCTGGGTGTTCCACTGTAACACATTGTCCACTGAGAGGCCAAGAAAAGCAGGGTAAGAACTGCAAAGGTAAAACCATTCCTGTCTCCTGCTCACAAACACTCTTTCAAGAGATTCTTGTCCCTTATCTACATCTTTTTATCCTCTGACGTTACACACCTACTTGCAAGGCTTTCAGGAGAAAGAACATTTCTTTCTCCCATATTTCTACAACACATTTCATGGCAGATTGTGGAAAAAAAGCTAAACCATTTAAGATTTACAAAGGTTCCCAACAATAAGGCCCCAATATCAGCTGCCATCCTGCAGAAGAGTGGCACATGGTACTCCCTCTGGCCCAATACCTCCCAAAAAGCCATTTATCCAAGCCTGGTGATATGCAGACACCTGATTCCCTAATCAGGAAAATAGTCAGACATTTCCTCCTCCAGGTGTTACTCCTGATTCTCTCCACCTCAGACAATTTTTTACAATAATTAAGTTTCATGAGCTACACAGAAATACAGAAGAGTTACTTATAGAGCATCAGAGTTATGTTGGTACCCAGATTTTTTTCAGATTAGGATCATTAGACTTGTACAGTTTCTATTTTTAACCACAATATCAGCTTTTAGGGACATCTTTGACCACGATTGTCCAGCTCCACAGATCTGAGTCGTGACTACCAACTCCCACACGAGACATAAGTGAGTAGGAAGGGGGAGAAGAGGCTGAACCCACAAATATGGCAGAGAGCACAGAGCATCTCGGGAAAAAATGGAAAACATCCTTTTTCCCCAAACCTTTCCCCTGACAAGACAATATGAGGCTGGATTTTATCTGCAGATAGTGGTTGGGTTTTAGTGTTAAAGTTGTCCACAGCCCTACATTTTGGCTCATAAAACACACACCGTTTGCAGCAACAACAAAAATTCCTTTACAGCTTCAACAAGACTGCAGCTTCTCATGTCACCGCCAAAGTAAAGATATTGAACTGACTATTAGTAAAAATCATGAGGAATTCAGATCCTGCTTTCAGGATATACTGCCCAGCCACAGCACCCCTTCGACTGAGGGTAGGTTTCTTGCACAGAGACAGAATCATTATTCCATGAATCACAGTGACCTTTGGAAGATACTGGGAGAAGCAGGCATGTTCATCCCCTTCCATTGATTTTCTTATTTTGAGTAAAATGGTTTAATCTGGGCAATAGTTATCTATTAGGAATAAAAATACCTAAAACTGACTATAGAAAACAGGATGAAGCTTTGGAACTGAAACAATAAATTTGGAAGGGAAACACGAGGCAAAAAAAGGTAGTGATTGTATAAACCTTAACTTAGGCATGACTCTGTGGCCAGACACCCAAACATGAAAAAACTGGAATCTCTTTAAGGCTAAAAACACAGACCTACAGGCCCAGACCTTTGTTTTACTGCACTGAGCGTCTGGAATCTATGCCTGATTTATAAATAAATATATGCTGTTGGAAAAGCCTGTAGAAAAACTACCCACCGATAAAGGGAAGTGGTACAGGCAACATTTTCTCTGGTTAAAATGAGAAATAACAGGTTGAATATTGAGAACATTGGACAAACATGAATCTAACCAACCCAGAGGACAAGTTCAGTGACAGCACATACAGCCTATAAGAAAAGAATTTGGTTGTCTCCAGGAGTCTAAGAGCACCCAGGGCTACTTAATTGAAGAAAATGGTGATTTATAGAGTAGCTGTTTAGGGTCATCATTGTATTGGTGCCCAGATCTCGTACATTCTGACAACTAAACCTTTATATTAGCAGATTAGGTGTATTTTATTATATTCTGAGCTTTAAATGGTCATACCTAAGCTTTCTTTGCTATCAATTTTTGCTCTCCTAATGTTAATGATCTGTAATAAACATAGATTTTGGCACTATTCACCTTAAAACACATGCAGACAACCTGTCTCTTTACTACTCCTCTTTGTATTTTCTTTCTTTGACCATGGGGTTCCAAGTTAATTAGTCCATTAAATTCACCCATAAAAAGAAAATTCTAGGAAAGGATTTAAAGCACCAAACCACAGCAATCTCAGCTCAAGCTGTATGCACAATTAGGTGTGGAGGTTACTTCCAAAGAATCAGATGGCAACTCTTAACCTGAATTCTGCCTATTCCTGAGATTTTTGCCCTCACCATTCAGCACGTCAAGAATTCATCAAGTATTAAATTTACAAACAGCGAACACACAACTTCCTACACCCAACTAAGAAATCAACAACACTCTTAAAAGACTCCTCAAAGTCAAGCATCTGAATCCCCACCCCAGCAGTGCTGAGAACCTCTTTTCACATCCCAGAAGATCCCGGTGATAGCAAAGCCTTCACTCACCTCCCGGTCCAGCAGCACAGGAGACACCACTGTCACAATATCCCCCTTCTCTGGGTCGATGTAGAACATGTTTGGGGAGGGTTTGGTGGGGGTCTGTTTGAGGATGTTGTACCTCAGCAGAGCATTGTCCGTGCTGGCATCATCAGCATCGAATGCTGTCATTCTCATCACTGTGGTTCCTGAGGGAAAGGGGGACAAAAACCAGGTGAAATGATGCTGCTTTGACCTGTGAGAGCCAGGTGGGTTCAATATCTAAATTATCTCATCAAGACCACTAAGTAGTTCCACCTGATATTTAGGTTGTACTTGTGTTCTTATTATTTTTCCCAGACAACAGACGCAGTGCTTCTGGTTTGCAGCAGGACATGTGACTCTGACATAAACTCCCCATGTCTGCTTGGAAACCATCCTTATTGATTACAATTCGCTGAATGAACTACAGGTGCACCTTTTCCCTTTAAATTTTGCAGGCAGAAAGTCTACAAATGGGTATGATGAAGCAAATTCTGAAATAAGAGAAAGGTCTTTATTTTCACTGTAAAGTCTCACAGTTTCAAAATTTGTTGGGCATCATTTCTGTCAATAAGAGATTTTGTAATTATTAAAACCTACATTATTCTAAGTTCAGTTTGCACTGATGTATGGGTTTATTGTGTCAGCCTCAATGAAACCCCCATCTCTGTAGTCCCACTGTCCTTCCAAGGATGAAGAGTTTTGTCACATGGAATTCCTACAGCACACAGTTCTGCTGGAGAGTGCAACAAGGGAACAGGTTCTTAAATGCTGGACAGAGGAAAAACCTCCTTCTGCTTCCATATGACAGTTAATAGAGGACTGATCCACTTCTGATTCTGTGCTCAGCTGGTGGAACACGTACTCCTGCATCCCAGGGTCAAGTCCTTTCCTCTCCCTCACACAGGCACACACCAGAGGCTGGCACAGCCTGCAAAATTCTGTCATAAACATTTTATCTGCTTTGCACAGAGATAATAACTGAAGAAATAACTGTTAGTGATTAAAGCCTTCTGATACAGACAAGGCCTAAGACATCAGATTGGAAGTGCCTCAGTAACTGGAATGTGTATCATTCGTGTACAATGAAAACCAGTGAATTTTTATTCTCTCCGAAGGTCTTGAAGTTAAAAATCAAAAAAACCCCAAAATATTGTGGTAAAAATAAAAACAAACCCAACTTTATTTACAGGCTGATATAACAATTGCCTGGTTCACTGCTAAACAAACACAACTGGCTTGTTTAGATACATTTCTGCCTTTTTTTTTTCTTTTGTTGTGCTTCCCAGAGTACAAAGTGTTGTCTCTTCTTGGGGTGACCTTGACTATAAGCTCTCAAAGGTTTTGCTTCGTTGCTACTTCAGGCAGAGTTACCCCCTTGAGAAAAATAACAGAGATCTGACAGCATGTTGGTTTTATTCACCAGTGATTAAAGGTCAGACAGCTCCAAAAGAAGCTTACTGCTGGATACCATGCCATGTTTTCCAGTATTACAAGATGATCCCAGCCCTGATATTTTCACCTATTTTGTTTGAGACTATTTCAGAAGAAAATAGAAAAAAGAGCAGCTTTCTATTTTGAGGAATGAAGATTCACCCTCTTTTCACAAGTACAACACCACGTGTTATTTTTTTAGACCTTTATCGTGTTTTTTAGAAGATTGTTTGTGTTAATCTTAGATAATGTGCTTCATGAAGGTCTTCTAAACACAGGACTTCAGTGAAATAAATAAGGATGAAGGCAAATCTTCAAGAGATCTTAGAGGGTGCCCAAGGTCAAGTGAAATTTTAATGGGTTTCAGTACATAATGCTTTCCTGAAAAATACAGTTTAATAAGATGCCATACTCAAGTACATCAGACAACATTTTAAATGAATGTACCAGTTGCTATTATTATTCATCTATTAGATGAGTTGATGCTCAGGAGAGATTTAGAATCTTATTACAATGTATGCTCAGGTAGAAATCCTCTTTATACCCTTGTCCCAGATAGTTCTACTGAAATATTTCTGATGATAAGACTATGGAAGGCACATATAACTTTTAAGATGTGATGTAAATCCCCAAATCTCTGGTTACTTTGGCATAGAACTGGCTCAACACAATGGTTGAATCTGATTCTGATTTGCCAGCTGCAGTTCTTTAACCTTTCAACTCACTAGACATTATCTTGTTCCGTGCAATCATTCCTTTGGTGCATACAGATAAGAAATTCCAGCAACTCAGAGTTTTACATTCATTTTGCATAGAGATGCCAACTCCAGGAGCAAGGCTGGAGAGAATTAGATCCACTTTTTTTTTTTTTTTTTGATGCTGCTTCTGTCAAAAGTTTTGAGCTACTGGTTTCTGGCTACCATCAAAGTGTCATTTACATTTAAGCAGAAGTTATTCCATTCTCACAAGTGCACACAACGGATGGAGGAATGCACATAAAACGTGGGGTTATCTTTGAATGTCGTAATATATTAACAGTCTGTCTGTTTGGGAACATACAGAACCTGCACCTCTTTAAACATCACCCATGTGCTTCCATATTTGTGGCTGACGCCTCAAAAATCGCATCAGATTTAAACCAGCAGCTAAAATATACACCAGGGAGAAGTTCAGTAGCTATATTTTCAGGGAAGATGTTTCTTATTCTAGTTGAGGTGTTCACAGAGAGAACACACGATGACCACACAACTGGGGTTGGACCATCACAAGGGAGTGTTTATATAGAGATCTCCTTCCTGGAAATCTAGTGACACAAATGTGTATTTTGAAAGGCTCTGCAGCATGCACCAGTCCAAAAGAGTTTCATTCAAGATGCACACTTCCTCAGTATTCCTCCTTCATCACAAAGTTTTATTCTTCATAAAATATTCATTTCCCCAGACCCATAAAGCGACTCCATCTAATTCGATGTCATTTTACAAATCCCTCCATTCCTGGCATCAATCAAATGCAGCTGGCTTTCAAACCACAAAACAACAGCTTGCTGCATTATCATGTTAAACAATATATATCAACTTATCAAGCTGAGGAAGAAATGCCTGCAAAATGAGCAGCTCCCCAGCGGTGCCGATGACGCACAGACACCGGGGAGGCAACTCCCTCACTACAGGTGTGGGCATGTCCTGGTGTATCTCAATATTCAGAGTTTATTTGTCACGCTTCCTGAGCGGTTTCACTATTCCCAGAATCCCTCAGAACCTCCACTTGCCCCTCCCAGAGCTCCTCATTGACCAGGCACAGATTCCAGCAGCCAGGCCGTTGCTCCGGAGGCTCAGCCATCAGTCGGTTGGTTGCTCATTTGGCCCATAAAAAGGCTTGGAAATATTGGCAAAAAGCTCCCCTTAGGCATTAAGAAGTCAAACCCAGCACATGCACAGTTTTGTGGGGATTGGAGCAGATGGTTTCTTGGGAAAAAGTCATTGGCATTTTGTTAATAACCTCTTAATAACCTTTCTATTTTGTTGTTTTTTATTTTCTTTCATTTTTTCTTCTTTTTTTTTTCTCTGTCAATTTGCCAAGAGTACATTACTACTAACCTTTATTTATTTACTATATTCAGCTGCTAGATTTACAAATAAGACTGGAACACAGTGGAAGTGAGGCCTATTTCTAGCTTGATGAAATGTGAATGAATGTCTTAAGTCTACAGCCTTAAGACTCTGAATTTGAATACTCATATTAAAATATTATCCATTTTAAGGGCTGATAAGTTGTAACTTTATCAGAGCTGCAATGCTCAAAAACTTCACCCTGGAGTTTTCTCATGTTATTTTGACTCTTTCTGTGTGTCCCTACTCTGTGTTCAGTACATTAAATGTTTTCTACATGTGTCACAGAAAGGGAAGGTTCTACTTTCCTAAGTGACATGACTTCATTGCTGAGGTTTATTTCCACCTTCTTCACAGCTGTACCTCTGTAAATGGATAATAATCATTTCCACAATGGTATAGCTTCCAAAAGTAAAGACATTTTAACCCAAGAAGGAGAACAAAGAATGAAAAATGAGATGAAGAAGGAAGAAATCAAGAGGGTTGATTACCTGTATCTCTAGAGGTCAACCTTCAGCAAATGGAGTAGAGGAGGACCCTCCTGATTATGTTCTCATCATAACTACTTACATGTCTGACTGTCATTTTGTACTTTAAGACAAGCCCCAGGGAAGCAAAACAAATATAAGAAGGAAGGTCTATTATGGTTCCAGTCAAGGGCATTTGAATTGCTACTATGGTTATTAAACTTATGTGTGTTCTTAAAAACTTGAAGGCCTTGCTCAACAGAGAAAATATTTAGTAAGAGTTACTGAGTTCAGGTTTTTGGCACATTTATATTTGTATGGAGCAATAATTTTCTACCCTGTGGGACTTCTTCACTTTGTCTATTTACATGTATGGCCAATTCTTTTTAAACTCTAGTTTAGCTGGCCTCACTGAGCAGTACCCTGGGAATGCCAAGGTACTGCAGCCAGTAGGTCTGGAGGGATGCACTGGTGAACTATCAACTGTGGAATGAATAATAAACAAACTTCTCTTGGAACACAAAAGAAACTTCAGTAACGTTAAGTAGAAATGAAGAACTGTCAAGAATTGTTACTACCTGTAGAGAGTTAATGCAGGCAGAAGCACATAAATTGAGTAAGAAATAATGGGACATTCCCAGCTGAAGGTTCTGACAGGCCAGTGAAGATGTATGGGCAGGGCAACCTTTGGCAATACAGGTATTTAACCTTTTTTCTCGTGAGTAGCACAGCTGTTTTGGCAGGATGAATTACTCACTCCTCAGAACATGAGTTATATACAGGACTGTCCCCAGCCCTCCTGCAGCCACTGTCACTGCTGGAAATGTTGTCAAGAGCTTTCAGGTACCTGCTGCTCCAGGCCAGACACTGATGTGGGAAACGTCAGTAGATGAACTTGCATTAGTTGAAGTTGTGTGACACGGATGTTCCTTTGGTATATTGTGCTATGAAGGTTTCTTTCTTTAGAGTAAAATTGTTTGGTGAAAACATGGAAAATTCATAGCCCCACCAAAGTTTCCTAAATATTGTGTATATTATCAGCCCATAACAGGTTATGATATTTTGTGGTAGCGTATATATGCTGAAATTTATGCTCTACTTTTTGCAGATGCAAGGAATTATGAAGAATGTTATTTATCCTTTCATAACACTAAAATC